GAGCACCGGATGGATGCGCGCTGTTGCCCCAAATTCCGTGATATTATAAGTTGTTTGCATTTGAAAAGAATATATTGGCATTTATATTTCGAGACATTTGCTTTCTAAAAAAACTTGATTTATTTATATTATTATTCTATAAATTAATCTACTGCATTGATTTTTATTTAGTTAATTTATTATTAAAAATATGTTGCTGCATTCATCATCGATGTCGATATCAAAAATTTTAAATTTTACTAGTATATTTAGCTTCAGTAATATAAAATATTTATTCACATCAAAGTAAATCAATCAAAATTTAGCAGTTCTAAACATGAAAGATTTATCGGAGCTTTTTAGGGATCCCGCAATTTAATGTCAAGAGCGTGTTCAAATCACGTGTCTGACACACATCTCATCTCGCAGACATTTATCAGCTGCTCTCTAACATCATAACTGATTTATTGGATGCGATTAATAGTCATGTTTCCTCTAATAATCGTTCAATGGTGTCTATAATAACGGTAAATCGTAATAAACGCGTTCGATTAATATCCAGCAATGAAATACGTCAATTTCGCGATGCCGATGCAATCTGTGGGTTTACGATCCCATATGAATAAATCCTCAATTCTATTAGCTTTTATAATCTACGCTACATATTGTCGAGAAAATGAAAATTTTGCTTTTATTTTTTTACGAGATTTTTATCTAAATTAAAAATGTAAAATATAAAATGAAATCTATATTAATATCTTCTTCAACGATGCTTTTATGAGTGTTTTCTAATCGTTACGTTTAGTTTGCCAACTCGTGTTATTCCACGTTGGCAAAGTCTAGCAGTTTAAAGCACGGTAAACTACGATTGACAATTAGTGCGGACGTTGCATACACCACAAGTAAATATAGCGATGACAATCTGTATCCCTGTATATCGTCTTCCATTTCATTGTAATGCAATCTCCATCTCTTGCTCATAAAGACACAGATAAGTACAAATGAATATATAAAAACTCACGTTACACTTTAAAAATTTTCAAATAATTAGCACACAATTTTGTACCTATGTTCCAATCAATTATAACAATTACAGTGATACTGAAATTTTATTAGCACGCTTATTCATTACCATTCACAATACGTTGATCGTTCAATTATCGTCATGGAACATTTGTTAACGCCTTATGCGTGTCAGCTGATGATTATCGGCAAATTACAAACACGTCTGGTACTATACTTTGCTGCCGGAATCGCGATACTGATCTCGAGAAGCGAATTACATACAGTCTTGTCAAGGGTTATATCGTAACGCTGACGCATACGCATTTGTGATTATGAAACTAACGTATGTATCTTATCTTCTGCTTTAAAATAATTAGTCTATTAATAGGTGTTTAATGCATTATTAAAGTATATTTAATAAAATATATATTATATAAAATATATCATATTATGTATATATTATATAAAATATATACATTTTGTTGTACACATATCAATTATTATATTATAAATTATTATGAATTATTATAAATTGTTATAAGTATTATGTATATATATTAAATTATTTTTTTTCTACTTATGACTCGAGCCATTTTTATAATCATACATAAAATGTTACATAATTTATGAAGAAAGATAGAAAAAAATTTCTCGCTTTTAGCTTTTCGATTTATTTTTACACAAAAGATCATGTACACTTTTCCACAACTCGCCTTATATATGGTCAACTTTCAAGCTACTCCAAAATCTTTGCATAACGTGGTACTCGAGAAATTTCATTGTCAGGTCGATATCGTAATTAATTCGAGATATCACAAACTGTCAGATTGATACATTTTCGATAAGCTCGATAATCTTAATAGTGTTTTTACCTCTCGGTGAAGCGAACTGACCCACATTTCATTGATAAAGATTTTTTTTCATTAATGCGGAATTAATTCCGTCCGCTGTCCGTTTATCAAAAGGTGTTTACTTTCTGTCGCGATGTGCGTCGAAAATGGTTATTAATACAATCGCCCGAATTAGAACAGAGTGGTCGGATTGAGCTCTGTTTCTTAGCCGCTATTTTGTTTTCATGATGAAACTTACCGGGAATTTTAATTGCGTCCATAAATTTCATTGCCAATTTTGATTATGGAGATAGATGCACTAACGATATCGAGAGACAAATTATAATTAAATCATTATTTCATAGAAAACGTAGTACTTCAAAGGAACTATTTTTTCAAGGAAAAAACATAAAAATGCTCATATTATTAATAACTTTATAAAGATCTGAAGATTATTTTATGTAAAACAAAAAAAGATGAGCAAAATTATTCACATTTATAAAATATACTTTATTAAAGTAAATTAATTAGATATTTATCAAATAAAATTCTTTCTTCTTAAAAGAGAAAGAGAAAGAAAAAATATGAAATGCATTATTTATTAAATTTATCAATTCGGATTTGAAGAAAAAAATTTTATAAAATAAAATTTTAAAACTGTATGTCTAACATATTTCAACTAAAATAAATATAACACATATGGAACATTAATTTTTGAAAAATTATAAAAATTTTTACATTATTCAGATGAAGATAAGTTCATCTACATACATTACACGCGAAGGGAAGGAATGCCAAGCAACATTTTAAAATATTCTTGTGATACGCTCCATTTCGCCAAGGTGACATTCCGTCGAGTATCAGAGATAAGAGAAAGAATGCGAGAGATTAAATCCAAAAAAAGATTTGATATTATATAAAACTTTTCTTGAATTATTAAAACTCGATGAATAAGATTCAAATCATTTACATTGATTAAAAGTTTCGAAAAGAAACATTAAAAAAAGAATTTCTTCTAAGCTTTGTACCTTCTGCCAATTTTCAGAATTTTCCCAGTTTGAGAATCTTACATTTGTTAATGAATCTATTATATTTAAATTATATTTAAAATTATAATTAAAACCTTTGTAGTCTACATAGCGCAAATACAAATTACGTATAAAATTTAATGCTGACATTTTCCCGCCATAGTCATCGGTCGCAACCTTGTCGCCTCTGTGACATACACTCTGCAAGCTGGTTATAATTTATCTGCCAGTTACGAAGAAATCAACGCTATTACCATGCGTTATTGCCGATGAAAGTTGCAAAATTACCATACAAGTAATCGGCAAGGTTGTGACTTGTATTGGATCGAAGAAAATTTCGCGCGTGCGAGATTTAACACACATATGTATCTCTCAGAATATTATCGAATGCTTTTCGACGAGAACGAGAAGATTTTTTGGGCCGACGTTATTATTTTTTTCATGTACTTATCTCACACACACACACACACACGCGTATGTTTTCTCGTCTTAATCGCCGCGTGATATATCAGTTGCATAGAATTACAAGCTCGTCGCGATATGAATTGCTCGGCATTAAAACAGAGTGCAGGCTCTATCCAGTGACTCTCGTATTATGCTAAGAATGCGATTTGATGAGACTTTCCTCTCAAAGAGGTATGCAAATATCAGATAAAGTTATGAAAAGAAACCTTTTTTTTGCAAGCAAACAATTTTTTTATTTTATTGCAGTAAAAAAGCATGTGGGAAATCTCTATGATCAGAAAAAATAAATTAAAAGAGAAAGAAGAGTTGATTTAATTCCTGTTTATATCGTGACTATAAATTAGAAGAGAAAGAAGAATTGACTTAATTCCTGTTTATATCATGACTATAAATTAAGGCATCCGTCGTCTTTGAATTCTCACTGGCATAATTTGTGGATTAGATTGATAACAAATTGACAAATCGCTATTTAAGTGGTTGGTATTCCCAAGCATGTAGGTCACGATATCGAAATTGGTATCAAACTTGCGTGAACATTTGTCAAAGTTCGTCAGTTTAATATTGTACATATATAACTCGCAATTTTGTTCTCGTCGCTGATCTCATCACATTAAGATCAACTGACTTCAAGAACGATCAATTTTTGCATTAAATCGAATAAATGAAGTGCAAAATGATTAAAAGAAATTATATAAATGTGTAAATGATTTGAATATTTGCATTAATGCGCAGATGGATCCGATTAGCAATGATATTAAAATTCATGCGCGCGTTGGTCGTTAAATACTAAAATTAAAAAATTAAAATCTTTCAAGTTGTAAATATACGTTATATTGCTATTATTTGTCCACCAAAAATCTATTTTTTAAAATCTTTTTTTAAATAATATGAATAATATATCTGAATGTGAAGACACTATGAGTTAAAAATTTATAATGAACTGTTGAATATAGTAAAATATGGAAAGTAATATTTTATCATGACGTTTCAATGTAAAAGAATCCATCCAGAATGTGGTCAAACACATGGGCATAAATATACGAGCAAATCATTAATTTTTATTTTAAGTCATTAATTTTTAACAAACGAAAATTCCTAAAAGTTATAAAACATTCCTTCGTATTTCTTTGCATTTTTGTCGCTATATATTTGTAAATAGTATCAACATTTGATAGCGACTTGATAAGATACAAGTCAGTATTAATTTGAATTTAATTTCGCTATTAATTGGTTAGTAATCATAAATGAAAATGAGAGAAGAAAAACAAAATTAAACATTAATTTTAACCGTTTATGTCTTTTAATTGGCATAAGATACATCTTGGCAGAAATTCGTTCATTATCGACTTGTTTGAAAGAAATTTATTTTCGCAATGATGGACTTAATCTTCAACATTAAAATTTATAAATTAAAATTTTAAAATATTAAATGTCTTTTAAATGTCTTTAAAAAGTTATTATTACTATATTATTTCTGTTTAATGCAATGGAAAATATTATAACAGTTTTTACTCTTACAGAAAACTTGAACGAAATTTATGCAAGAGGTCACTAGTTAGGACGATTATTTGCACAGCTTTGACAAATTTGAGCGATCTTTCACTCATAATCGCGTTCACATTTTTTCGCAATTGATAAAAATTCATTCTGTGTATTTTGCGACACCACCACATTCAACGATTACACCACTTACTCGGAAACGGCGAGACTCAGTCTGGTCCAAATCGAGGACTATCCTCTTCGACGATCGTTGGTTTGCATCTGCCTCGCGCAGCCAGGGACGATCGCACCGAAAGAAGTTAAAAAAAAAATAATCGCTAGAATTCGCGAAAAGGGGGCCAAGAGAGACGTCGGGACGCGATCAAAAAAGATTACGGCGAAGGAAGAGAGAGAGAAAGAAAGAGAGGGAGATAAAGAAAGAAAGAGAACACAACCGGTGCTGGCGGCTCGAAAGCGCGAGCCTAACTGACCCGCGGAGACGAGAGGTAAACGCAAGCTAAACTAAGTCTCGGTATCACAATTCGGTTCGAACCGCCACGAGGAGCGGAGAGCAGCGCCGTGCGAAAGACGATCGGTTTCTTCGGGTCCACCACCCACCCACTGGATCTCCTTGTCTTCCGTCGGTTTCCCCGTCATCGTCTTCAGGATGACGAAAGACGCGAATGACGGTCACTCATGAAGGCGGAAAGGTGAATCCGTGGAATGCGTCGAAGTCGCAAATTGTGGGGAAATCGTGCAGTCTCTTTGCAGGACCAGATCTCGGAATGACAACTATGTTGCTTGATATTTTTTAATGGTTGTAAAATTACAAAAATGACAAGCTCTCTTTCAGGGATCTCATGATGATATTTATGGGATGGAATAGGATATACCAAGTCTAGATTATCTAAGCCTCTCGAAGCACAACCCTGCCTGAAATTATTTCTAGCAACCCTATCGGACTATCGAGCACTTCTATAAAAAGATGTTGATACTGTAAAAATTTCTTCTTCAGTCCTAACTTCAATTCAAGGGGCGCATGTAATTAATTATCAAAGATTGTGATTATATACTCACTCGACAAACATATTACACACAGAAGGTTAACCGTGTCTATTAATAGACAGGTATGCTCGGTAACGATGATCGTTCCTTAAATTTCATTCCGGATCAATCAGAAAAAAAGATTCGTCCGAGTTACTGACGGATCTGAAGCACGAGTTGAACTGAAGCGAACACGTTGTAATAAATGTACATTTTAAAATCTATATCACATTTGCACCGGATCTCCTCACACTTCCGACGAAATACGTCATTGTCGAAATGCGTGTGAAATCCAGTAGTTTTATTCAAAGAAAGAATAAACTTACAAAGGAATAGAGAGAGAAAGAGACCGGATGCTGACCGCGTTTCCGCGAGAAAAAATAAACTCGGGAAAGCGATTCGAACTCTTGATGATAGTTTTTATACATTATATTATATGTTATCAGTTGTAATAATATAATATTTTTATGCGTACATTTTAATTTTTATTCAAACGTAGAGGAATAAAATAAAATAAATATGCAAATACTTCGAGGGTATATACGAGGAAAATTCGCGGATTGTTGTTTTATTATATTTCTATACACATTTGTATGGCTGAAATGTTGATATTCGTGCTGATGTTTGCTTACAAACGTCAGCACAAATAATGTATGATGCATCTCCCAAATTTGAGAGAGATGCTGCTCGGAATAAAAGCAGAAAATTATTCGTATACAAAATGTAAAATAAATTTCTGTCTCGCGCTTTTGCTTTGTGTGATTTACATCATTTTATTTTAAAATATTAAAAATTGACGATGAATTTTTTTGAAGTAAAACTTTCCTAAAGTTTTTGTGCTCAATTTATTCGAAATACCAGGATGCTTACGAATTTATATGGTTGTCACATCGGTGAACGATTACGATCAATCGGATAAGCTTAGCACTTTAATCGTGATGACGAATTCGCTGAGAATGTCGACAAACAAGTGCTACGTAAATAAATCGATTAAGTATTAATCGTACAAATCGATCTGGTTCATTTAACTGTAAGAGTTCAGCGCAGAGTGCTAACTATTTGTGTTCTTTTAAAAGATGAGAGAATGATAGAGAATATAGTTGCAGTGAAGCTGCAAGAAATATCGCGTAGAAATCTATTAAACGCTATTACACGTGTACGCTGCGCAATTAAAAATTAATATCGCATACGACAATCTATCATATCGTTGTTGATTAAAGTATGATACGCGCAAAGCTATTTATAACGACTGACTATTTGACCTTAATTATTCATTGTTTCGGAACGACATTGAATTAAAGAAGGAAGATGTTAATCCATGGAAATTGTCCCGAGGCGATCGGTAATGATGTAATTTGACGAGAATTGCGTCGTGACAGTATCTTTAATTTTATTGGCATTTTAAACATTTAATGAATGAGCAGAATCTTAATATGAAGTGTTTATGATATTTTATATAAATGTCAATATCAATATCTATCATTATGTCTCATATAATTCATTCATGAAGTAAAGTATATAGCTAAAAATATGCGTTACGTATCGTCTATTGCAAAGAGAAAGAGAGAGAAAAAGAGAAAGGAATAGAGAGAAAGAGAAAGAGAAGTTTTATTAATCTTTTTTTATTATAAAAATTTAAACGATTATTAATTCACAAAAGAAAAAAAAAATGAAACGGGCTCGTCCGGGATTTGAACCCGGGACCTCTCGCACCCTAAGCGAGAATCATACCCCTAGACCAACGAGCCAGTTCTTGAGAGAGTCTTTTTTCAATGCGTACATCAATGAATATCTTGTGCTCCATTTGAATTTTACAATTTAAGATAAATAATGTTGTGTTTTAACACTCATTAAATTACATTAATTATTCTATTACATCAACCAAATATTTGTGTGTTTGTGTCTTCCATGTTAAACAATTCTGGAAAATTAAATCTGACACTATAATTATTTTGTTTTTTATACATAAAGTAAAAAAATAATTATAAAGATTATATTTATATTTGTAAGATTATATAAAATTAAAATTCACAAAATTGCAATTAATTTCAATCCCTAAAAATGAACAGTTTTTTATATTATGTATATTCCGTTCTTATCAACAATCTCACACAATTTTAAATTATCATTTCTTTCAGTCAGTCGTTTATTTAATCATGCGTACCCATATTTCACTTTGATTATGTTACACCTCGTTCCAGAGAGGCAAGAAGTAGCTGCAGCATTCACGCGCGTCCATATATTTCAATCTCACAAATAGATCGCCTACTTTTTTCTCTTCGCATAAGTTAATTTAACGCTTGAAAATGTGGGTCGCAAGACAAGAGGACCATTTTTAAGTATCCATAAATTTTTTTGAAGTATATATAGGTACTCATCATAGAAGATATTCTCTCTCTCTCTCTCTCTCTCTCTGTTTTTCTTTCTCTTCCTTTTTCTCTGTCTCCTTTTCTTTATTTTTTATATAAAGTTATAATGCTTTTTTAATATATATATTGCTTTATATATAATAATAATAATAAAACAATGAATAAAATGTGAGTGAACGTTATATTAAATTGTTAAATAATTTAATTAATTAATTTAATAATTTAATGTCTCTTCTTACATATAAATAACCTTTTAATTTTAATGGTATAAATAACCTATGGTATAAATAACCTATTTAATTTTAATTCTTTTATATAAAAAAATTATATATGTTTATACTTGATATCATATTTATTCTTCTATTAAAGTAACGCAATCATCCGGGCGCCGTGGCTTAGTTGGTTAAAGCGCCTGTCTAGTAAACAGGAGATCGAGGGTTCGAATCCCTCCGGGGCCTTCTCACGGATCCACAAGCGATCCTTATCGTGTTAATTTTGCTTTTTCAGAATATTTTATTATGGAAAATTACACTAATTTTTTTCGACAATTTTATAAAAAATAAGAAACGTTTTTTTAAATGATTGCAAAAAACAATTAATTTTTGTCAACATTAATCACGTAGCGATGATAAAATTTTTTTATTAGATAAGTTCTTATCAAAATTAGGCTTTATAATTTCTTTTAAATTTACTTAATAAAATAATTTTAACTATTAATAAAATTCATGAAAAAGAAAACTTGCGATGCTTGTGGATCGGAATCTTAGCCCATTGAAATCATTCAGATTCGAAAGGAATTCATTTTCGTAAACTGTCCTAGACCGTCGACATAATAATAGAATCTAATTTCCTGTTCGCCGAAATCAAGATATTGTACATCCACGTGCAGTCGATTCTCAGTTTAACTTGTGTAAATGCAGCTACAGTCATAAGCATATTTATAACTGCTTAACGCGTAATACCAATTGCAGCATTGCCGTCTAAAAACATTCCGGTTTAAATTAAAGCTCGGTCATTGCTTAGGTATGCGCGAAAATTATTTGCGGCTTTTCAACCGGTTACAATGTGAGGTATAAGTGATTAAAAATTTTCATAGGGATTAGATAACCGAGGATTCAATATTTTCTTTTAATAAAACGGCCAAAGGTGATAATATTCTTGAATCTCTAAGTTATAGAAATCTTAGCTATGATATATCGATAATAAATTTTCATAAGGATTAGATAACTTAAGGAAAAATTAAAAATCAATAGTTTCTTTTAACAAAACGATCTTTTAATAAAACGAGTAATCTATTAATAATCTTGAATCTTTTAATTATGAGAATCTTAGCTATGATATGAATGAGACACACTTAAACTATGTAATGTTTGTGCCTATCTACGCTATCGGCGGTCTTTCGCAATCCTTGCATTCTTCGATATTGAACAATTATACGAGATTGATTACGATGATGTATGTGACACGAGATAAACGATCTTTATCGTGCGATCTTATTGTGATTTATAAATTTATCAACCTTAATTTGTATTCTACTGAAGAATAGAATGTATGCAAGCACAATTGTGTATAAATGTTTGTACAAATTATTAATGCCATTAAATTATAAATCACACACCATCACTTAAATGATCAAATTAGCATTATTCACACATATACGATTAAATTATCTCAATATAAAGAGCATTTTACTGTATTAAATTTATTTTTATTATTAGTTAAACATAAAATTTTATATTACTATTTAAAAATAAATGATCCGTATCAATTTCATCATTTCCGCTACGCGATTTTATTTAATCTACTTAATTGAAATTAACTGTTTCATCTATTATAAAGGATTATCGTGTTATCAACGAAATTAAGTCATAATTCTGGATTTAGACGCAGGATCTTATTAACCACGAACAGGATTTCCTGTTTCACCGAAATAACTTAACGTCTAGCAATTAATTCCTTCCGCCGCCAAATTTGTGGCTTTCTATTTCGAAGTGAATTTCCGCCGAGATTATTCCTTTATTACCAAAAAAAACATTTATCCGATTATAATGTAATTTTAAAGTGACAATAAGAAACGTGTGACATAGATACATAAATTAAATTTCATTCATAAGTAAAATCAAAAGCTATTTGTTTAATCAATAATTGACGGTATCATGGCAACCAGATGGACGCGTTTATCAATTTCAGCGGATATCAGTTGCACACACAGTATCGCATTTGATACGTTAAAGATTCTCTCTATTCTACAGATACTTGAACGAAAATCGAAAGTAAAGTGTCCATAAGCAATGGGTAATACAGAGAGTAATGTTACGAGCGGTGTAAAGAAACAAACGGACACATCGTCCATCGTGCTTTATAAATTAGTCGATTTAAAAGGTGAGTGAAGTAATTAATAAGTAGAATAAACGGATTTTTCAGTTCATTTATTTTATACAGTTATAAATAAAATTTTTTTAAATTATCATATATAAATAAAAATTAACTACATATAATTAATTTAACTAACTTAATTTATATCAACATATATACTCTGTTTTGTTATCTTTACTGCTTCAATTTATATTCGCAAACGAGAGTAACAATGAAACGCCTGAAAACACGTGCCCCTGCACATTTCTGACGCTCGTTTCATGTTGCCAGCATATTGGCTACGCTTGTCAGCAGCTAGCTTTTGACTCGACTTTCGCGGCTTATAACGAGGAAAGACGTGATATAACGATACACATAAATAGAATCCAGCATGTGTAGCGGATTCAGCAATATGCCAAACGTTTTTGTTCACTGTCTTTAGAATCTTTTCTTCGAGATCAATCGTTTATATCGTTCGCCATTATTCGCGACGAATAACGAAATTAGAGAAATTATTATCGTTGTAATAAACACGCCCTAAAATCGTAGACGATATACAAAATCTGAACACGTTGTGATGATTTTTGATTGAAAATGTTAAGGATAATAATCTAATAATTAGATACATTCACACAGAGGAAGATCTGATTGAATCATTTAGACATTTATCATCACTTTTTCTTCATTCGATGTCGAGGGCTCATCCAAGTTCTCCGTAATCTCTGAATTAACCATATTAAAGGAGGAGTGTATGTTGTACTTTCCCATTTCGGCCTCGAACAGGATGTTGTTTATTTGATGCTGCGCGACAAGTCTTGCACGCACGTCTGTTATATTTTTCAGCCGAATGGCGACGTGCTCGGCAAAAACCGTGAATTCGTCACGACATGACGAAATCTCCTGAAACCGTAAAAAAAAAGGTCGTGACATCGCAGGACCGAGTTCTACAAACGAGTCACGTCAAAAAAAAAGCAGTATAACGCGTATCATGATGGACAGAGAAATCTTTAGACCCTGTACATTATGCAACGCGTTACATACATCTTTTTAAGTATTGAAATAATTTTGCTGTAATATAAGAAAATTTAAAGCGTACCTGCGGCTTCCAATTAGAAACAGGCATGGAATTCTAAAAGAAATAGATACGAATTAATTAATTATAATCTCACTTTGCGAGTAATGAAGATAACATTATTTAAAGAATAAATCGATGATGAATAAATTATATGTAAATGATAAATAGAACTTGTATGCTTGGTATAATAACTTTTTGTTTTCAATTATGATATAATTGCTAAATTCAGCTATAATTATTATTACTGTTATTGTCACTGTGTTAATTAGATTGATACGAATATATATAATATTTAACATTATAAATTCTATCCTTGCGAAAATTCGACGCACCTGTTTCTCCACATTTGACGTTTCGCGATTAATTCGCATCAAACGTCCTTTATTCAGAAAAGTTAAAGCTTCATAAGCGAACCATTTAGGCTTGATTACGATGCTGCCAGGATTCAGATCAGCCTTGAGCCTACGTTTCGCGTACGCTTTGTGAACCGACATGAAATGAGTCTTGAGGCTCTTCAGTTTCCTCTCCACCGTCATCACGTCACATCCGAGCTGATACAATTTTTCGCGATAAAATGCGTTTTTGTAGAAACGCGCCTCGATGATAACTTAATTCGAACGCGCGTTGTGTAACAACATAAATAAATGAATCGTGAATTTTGCGCAGGCTGTTACGTAAATGCATTTCTATCCAACAAGATTGCTTTCCGCTCTCGACGCAATAAAGGCTTCCCGGCGCGCTTGTTGCACCAGTGTTGCGTAACGGCTTGCGCAAGTATTGGACGTAGCCGTGTGTGCAATATGTGTCTGAACTATATGTATAACTCCCGAGATATGAGAATATTTTTCACTCCGTCCAAAAATGTTTCTGGCACAGTATGCACACGCGTATACTATTGTGTTATACATAAAATAATATACGTTTATTTAGATAGATTATTATTATTAATATTATTATTATTAGATAAAAGATTAATAATTCATCAGTTATGATGCGAATTTATGATATTAATTTCGCTCCATTTCTTTTGTTAATATAGCTAAATAATATGAAAAATTAAATTTGTCGAAAATAAGAAATACGCTAATAAAAATAAAGTGTTTGTAAATCTTCGCGTCGATCTTCTCGCGACCTTTAAATCACGTCAATCTTTAATAGCGCAAAAAAGGAAAAAATTAAGCGCGATTATTTTATGCTTGTGTGTGTGCGTGTGTATTAATTAAAAATACAAATAATATGCAGCAATCATTTATGTTAGCTGTAATTGTTATCTCGTGTAATTATGATCGCACCTCATCGGCGATTTCTTTCCACGCGTGGATTCTCTTGCTTCGGTCAGTGTAATCGGGCGCATTGTGATCCCAGAGGAGCTTTCTCGCGCGATACGCACCGATCAGCTTCAATATTGTCTCTTGCCTCCACTGCGCCATGATGCCCGTATTAGCCGCGCCGTGCCACGTTTAACCACTGACAGCAACGGCGACGGTGGTCGGCGGCGGCAATCCCGACCGCTTGCTCTTCCCGCAGACTTGCGCCAGCAATTGCCGCGACGGTGCATGCAATATTTGTGCCATACCGTGCAAGATGGCGTTGTATGTATGTCCTTTGATGTGCCGACAACGTTACAACGAGATGAAGGTCCGGTGGAATCTTCTATTTTTGGTGCGGTAGAATCGGCCGCTCGAATTTCATAAATTATTGGCCATAAAAATCGAAGCCACGAGCCACGAGTCGGGAAAGCGAGGAAGAAACTATATCGTGATTTCTATTTTTTGCTTTTAATGTATGTCATTAGAGGATAATCTTCAGATTAAAAAATATATTATTCTTAATTATTATATTATTTTAAAAAATCATAATAGATGGATACAACATTATCTAGTTTAAAATTCAAATTCATTTTCTCATTTGTCTTGCATAGTATAAGATTTCTTTCATTTTTAAGCTAAAAGATCAATTGACGTATGAATTGCAAATTTTTTAATTATTATAGAATGTTATTAAATGATTGAATAGTAATTTGATTAGAATAAATTTAAATTAAATTAAATTGAATTTAAAAAATTATTATAGATATGTATGCATATTTATGTATGTACAATATCAATGAAAATTGGACGAAATTATTGTGATAATAATTACGCAATGCATCGTGCAAACAGAAAGAAACAGAACCGCTGATAATTTTTAACGCTTTGCAAATTCCTCTCGTAACATTCGCGACATTTGCGTCATCCGACATTATGCGTTGACAGGTTGCAGATCTAATTAGACGGATCGCAATGTAATCGTCACAGCTACAGCTGTTTTTAGTCCGTGAGTGGAACCCATACACTTTTCGATCGCGAAAATAGAAATGCCGTCACGAATGTTCGCGATGCGTCTTACGCGAAATTAACGTTAATCGACTCGAATCGCGTTCGCCTCTCTTTCGCTCTGCCCGTTTTATTGGTCCATGAGTCACTGCATCGATCATTTCGAAGTTGGAGTTAAAGTGCTAATGCACGATATATGGTTCCTCAGATTCCAAGCACTCGACAATCCAAATACTTGCTGTCGTGACGCAACGGGCCGTCCACGTGCCGTTCGTGGATTTAATTTTATATCGCGCGGTGACGTTGTGTTGACGCGATTGCGAATCACCGCGGATTTTCTGCAGCTGAGAATTTTCGCACAATTTTCATGTGGAAATTCCCTCGCTCTTGCCAATTTTCACAGCATTCTTGATTCATGGAAGAGAAAATAGATTCTTTTATTTTAAAATACTCAAAACAATGTTTTGCTGATGCAGATAAATTTCTCGATGTCAAAACAAAAACATATTTTTTGTATCTGCTAAAACGTTGTTTGTAGAATTTATAACATGTGGAATTTATAGCAGCAAATTCTAATAATAATAAGCCTTCTGACAAATTTAGATTCTGTTATCAAATATTAATCACTGCATTGGATGAATTTTGATATTAAACCAGAACGATCTTTGTGAGAAATGATATTTTTTCTCATCATCCTCTTTATTATTAAGATTACAGCGATTGAATATTTATTCTATCGATCGCAGGTGGTGGTTTGTTAGTTGATATGATGAAAAGAGCCACTCAGACAAAGCAGTTTGCGGAATTAGACCATGCGATGAGAACGAAAGTCGAGCCCTTTTTATATAACAAGGGGGAAGGCAAATGGATACCTATAGACAAATTGGTCCTCTTACGAAATAAAGATCGTCCGCGACACAAAATGGTATACAATCGATTTCGCTATTCTCGATTTCAATGCTTTTAACAATTTTCGTTTCACATTATCTAGCTAGCACCGTTAAAAGCTATGGAAAATCCAGCGGATTACGATATAGACAAAGATATGGGCGATGAGGAAGTTGATGAAACTAAGATAGGTAAGTTATTATAAAATTTAATTAAATTATAATAAAATATAATTATAATAAAATAGATAAATTATTGCAAAAGTATATTTTTACTTGCTACTTAAATTACTTACAAAATAGTGCACTACAAAATAATTTTCCACGCAATAAATAATCTAAATTCTTGACAGATAAAAGCAAATATAGATTAGTGTGCTGGAATTTGAGTGAGAGAGGTGCTGTCGGCGAAACTATTTTGCATTTATGTATGTTAAACGCTACTGCTCTCCACGCTGATTTGGCAAAAAGACTATTACGTTTCTATCCGAAGCTTATAAACGATATTTATCTATGCGACGAATATTACGGTAAGTTCGAGTTATTACGAAATGCGTAATGAGCGTCAATTTGAGAACCTATTTTAAATGCTGTTAATTAAAACCCTCCTTTATGAGGGAACATATACATTAGAGAATTCAATTACCGATAAACTCCCCGACAAGAGTGCTGAATATAAAATACCTATTCATTGCGTATCCCTTGCGTAATGAAACATTAGCATTTCCAAGGTAAACCATTCATATTCCTTTAGAGGCTCCCGCGGCTTTATTTTTTTAATCGGGAGATTCTTTTGAATTCAGGTCGCGTAAATCCGTCCTGCAATCATACAACATTATTACAGTCGTTAGAAAGTATAAATATAGGTAACCCAAATATATATTGCTACCAATCAAAGTGAAACATATTTTTTTAATTTGTAGAAATATATGAAAATATATGAATAAATTGAGATCTTTCTGCATCCGCCTGACAATTATTGCCTTAGCTTTGTACAATTCGCTTTGCATTTAGGTGAAAATGTATTACATATTGCTATTGTGAACGAGGATCCATCGATGGTCAAGTATCTTCTCGACAGCGGCGCGGACGACCCGCGCATTATCCACGAGAGATGCTTCGGTAATTTTATGTGTCCGGAAGATCAGAAAGCATCGAGGTTTGATAGTCAAGATCACGAATGGGTGTGCGTCACACCAGAAACCAATTATAACGGGTGTGTGTGATAATATTTTTTAAGAAAACGATGTTACTATTCATCTCTCTTATTCAACGATGGAACAGAAAAATTCCATTCTCATTACTAACATTTAGTCTAACGACGTTAGTGTTCATTGATGTCAAACTTAAACGTGACCTAATTACACGGTTAAATTTCTCGAAACAGATTAATTATCAACAAGCATTTTATCAGAAACTTTAATGAATCTTGTTAAGTGCAATGCCAAGAAAATAACACATATACGAATAATTTGATAAAAACTCATGAAAACGATCTCTATTTTTTTATCATTACGCTTGTAGATACGTGTATTGGGGAGAGTATCCCTTGAGCTTTGCCGCATGCCTTGGTCAGGAAGAATGCTACAGACTTATACTTGCCAGAGGTGCGGATCCGGATAAACAGGATACGAATGGGAACACCGTTTTACATATGCTGGTGATATACGAAAAACTGGCGAGTGTTATATTCTCAATCTTTATTCGTTTGTAGAAGATACTGAATAATTTATTTAATTAGTAATGCTGGCCAGAAAAAAATGTCAAGGCAAGCTATCTTGCCTTTATTTAAATAGTACAAAAATACACTCAAGACTATTTTAAGAAAGTGGAATTTATTCACTTTTATATCCTCTTCTCAATTTAATTTCACAGGCTACGTTCGATATGGCCTATGAAGTGGGGGCTTCTCTAGACATAAGAAACGTTCAACATCTGACTCCATTGACTTTGGCAGCAAAGCTAGCTAGGATAGAGATGTTCTTTCACATTCTGAATATCGAGAGAGAGATATACTGGCAAATAGGTAGCATAACTTGCGCAGCCTATCCTTTGTCGCAAATAGATACAATAGACGTTAATGCAGGAACAATCAACAATAATTCTGCTCTAAATTTGGTTGTTTTTGGCGTAAGCGAATAAGTTATGCAATAATTTTTTCCTTCGAAATCTTCACTTATGCAGAATATTTTATAATAATTGTAGGAGAAAGATGAACATTTAGAGTTAATGGACGGCGTCCTAATCGATCTTTTAAATGCCAAGTGGAACACTTTTGTTAAATTCCGGTATGTTTATATGAAATATATAATCTTTTATTCTTATGCGTATAAAAATATAATCTTCCATTTCTATATTTTATTCTTATAAAAAGATTAATATGCAGGAAATTATTTTTCAATTTAACATGAAAGATAATTATAAAAATAAATTATATGTTTAGAAAATATCACGAAATATTGAAATTTTTAGATTCTATCGTCAATTCATTCTCTTCTACTTCTACTTTGTGCTATCGCTGATTAGTTTCACTCTTCGTCCTGGCCCGCAAACAGATGAAAATGCGAATGATACATTGACAAACTCATTCAACACGACGAGGGAATCCATGATTCTCAAGTCTCTTCACAGTTCGGATCTATCAGAACTGGTTACAAATAGTTTCACAGCAGCTTTTACTTCGAACTTCAAATCATCCTTAAACGTAACGCAAGAGTCATTGGAGAAGATCCAGCTGCAAGTGACGTCGAATGTTACATCTGCTCTGAGAAGCATTTTGCTTTTAACGTTGAGCAACAATGAGGATCTTTTGAGTTCCCCTGATGAGGCCGCCATTCATACACTGTGGTATACCGATAATCCTCAAAACGCGTCGGATTATTTCATAAATATGTATAATAAAACTGTTACAATTGATACTAACTCAACCGCCAAAACTACCATCGACGATGTCACACTATTAGGAAAATTTAACAATCACGAAAAATGGTATGTTAAATATTACGAAGATCGAAACGCTTTCAAAAAATAACATTATTAATATAGATCTTAATAATACATTGTTATTAATATATAATAATAAAAAATATAACATTTTAAGCTTCAAAATAAAGTTTAGTATTGGAAGAATTTATAGATTCTTGGATATATATTTCTGTTATTATAAGTACTTTTTAGAGCAAGATTTTTTTATCTTTCACGACAATATTATATGCTTGAACAGGTGGGATGATCTTACAGAAGAATGCAGACTGATGCAATTGACAACAATGAGCGCGAAGATCCGTCTTACTGCGGAAATCGTGATGTATTTTGCGGCAGTGCTCTACATCTTGGCTGCGTTGCGAGAAGCGAGATTTTTAGGTCTCAACATGTTCATTGAAAATCTCGTAAGAATTAATTAAGATGTTGTTCCACATATTTTTCAATATACAAGAAAAAAGGCTGCACAAAATACAAATTACAATAAAAACAAAATTGCTAATCTTAAAATGTTTAAGACTCTTGTATCTTTACTTTAATGAATAAATTTAATTTTGATCAAAGATTTTCTAATAGGTCATAAATCAAATTTATTTATACTACTCGATTTTAATAACATTTTAATAACATTAATATTAATATAATATTAATAATAAAAAATATAATATTTTAAGATTTAAAATAAAATTTAGTATTGGAAGAATTTATTTCTTGGATATTTCTGACATGATGACGAAATATAAACATTTGCAACATATGTTACATATATGTGAACTCGATTTTTAGATGACGGCGCCGTCGCGCGTCATGTTTCTGTTCTCGTGTTGCATCTTAATGTCGTTTCCGGTTCTGAGACTTTCCTGCTCCGATGAGGTCGAAGACGTGCTGGCAGTTGTAGTGATGCTAACAACGGCGCCATATTTTTTATTCTTCTGCCGAGGTTTCAAGACAGTCGGCCCGTTTGTCGTGATGATTTACAGAATGATTACGGGCGATCTCCTCAGATTCGTCTCTATCTATCTCGTCTTCGTGATGGGATTCTCTCAAGGTAATGATGCTCAGTGTGTTATAAGAAAATTTCACTGATTCAATCCTTTATTCCTTTGAATTTTGTATGATAGTCGCATTCCTTCTTACGAATAAAGCTTAGAGCAAAATAGACGGATATCCTTGTTGCCGATTATCACAATTGATGATCGAAGTTGAAGAGATATAATGGCAAGTGTAATGGATAAATATGCTCGATACGGTGTTTCTTAAGGTCTCGATGCCTTATTCTCTATTGATATATCCCAACAATTATTAATTAGCCGCAGGAATAATGGCACCGCGACGAAAGCCACAACATATGATCTAATCGACAGTTTTACGATATTGCAACGCGACATTGACACACATCGCCGAAGGTTTCTTGTGTACAATAGCGAAGAATGCCGCAGAAGGAGGCGCTAAAGAAAAGGTGCGATGTACGAGAAATGGTGCGATACATTGTTATGCAACCAGCAACGGAATATCATGGCCGCATACTGTGCCATTGTGTTTCACTTTCCACCATCACAGTTAAACATGGTGCAATGCTGCCGCGGAATTGAATGGAACATCTGTTCACTCGTAGAAATATTTACTATTACAATAGAAAATCTTGATCAATACATTATTCACAACGATTGATTAATTTAATGCCGAGTCTTTATAAATACTCGAGATAACATCCCATATTTCTCCACAGATGTTTTGCATGTATATATTCGGAATTAGCTGTACATAAATATTACATTAGTTAATATATTAATTATTATACTAATTATTTTTACAGCGTATTATATCATATTTTTGTCGTTTGACAATCCGAATACTCCGGAAGGCGTTGACGATTCGATAACAAATCCTATGCCATCGCCGATGGAGAGCGTTATGGCAATGTTTCTGATGAGCATGACAAATTTCGGCGATTATTATGCCACGTTTGACAGAACCGAGCATGAATTCGAAGCCAAGGTATTTTCACTACGAAATATTAAATTCCTCAAAAATATATAAAATATCAATTGCGATCATTGCATTGACATTCTATATAAACCCTACATCTTATATAAACCCTACATACATACGTTTCAACAACAATTAAATAATTCGCCTAGTTTTCTCTGTAATGGATGATTCATATATATATATGTGCCAAGTAAAATACTGTTAAATGCATTCAGAGTTGATTGGATAGTATTACAGCAATAATTATTATTGTTGCAGCTGCTGTTCGTGTTATATATGGCGATCGTGGCAATCCTGCTCGTAAACATGTTGATTGCTATGATGGGCAACACTTACCAGAAGATCGCTGAAACCAGAAATGAGTGGCAGAGACAAGTACGTCGTTAATATGATGTATTAAAGTAGAATGTCGTATTAACCTTCTATTCACGTTAAATTTGTCTCATATGTATCAGTGGGCGCGCATAGTCTTGGTTGTGGAGAGAGGCGTAAGTCCTGCTGAAAGATTAAAAAAATTGATGGACTATTCTCAGCCCATGTCTGACGGTCGTAAAGCGTTGGTTCTCCGATTAAATCAAACTGTGAGTATATAAAAATGTGTAATTTTAATAATAGACTTTTACGAGATGACGCTATCGATTTTAGGAAGAAGACAAGGAAGAAATGAAAGAGATACTTGAAATGAAAAGGACGCACGATAAATTAATAAAGAAAAGACAAGACAAAATATTAAAGGAGAAAGCTTTAGCTGAAACAGAAGCTGTTATTACTAGAAAATAAAATAAATAATAAACATTTTATTTATTCTCAATTGATGTATGTTTGCGTATTTTATTCTTTTTACAAATGTTATTGATTAATGTAATAAATATAAATTTTTAGCAATGTTAAAACTATGCAATTTTTGTGAATTATAAATAAATAAAAAAATTGTTATAAAAAAATACTAGTACGAGTAAATTTCTAATCAATAATTAAGCTTATCGTTTCTATGACAACAAAGTTGTGTCATGTCAGAATATTTAAGGCTCGGATGAGCGCAAGTGAAGCATCTATTGGAAAATGAGAAAATATACATATAGTGACAATGAGTGCATTAAAGATTCCAATAAATTATAAATGTTTAGAAGAAGAACTTCATGAGGCGCTCACAGCCGACGAATTGTATAAATTACAAAACGATGCTAAAATCCGAGCTGTTGAACAAGGAGTACCGACATATGAACATTTCAGACAGATGGTAATTAATTTTGTTATTACATGTATAATATTATGTATAATAAAAATAGATATTCTTTACATAATTTTTAAGAATTTATGAATAAATTTTTTTTATTTTTTATGATTGTGCCAGATTTTATACATTATTATATACATTATTATTAAAAATGTATTTAATTTATTTTTTTATTAAAATTATAATTATATGAAAGGTGAATGGTGCTCATTTAAAACCTCTGGATCGTAATGATATGAAACCTAAGATTGGAGTGCAGTGGAATTCTATGATTAATACTGGATCTCATGACTCGGTTATGTCTACTGAGAGAAAATCGAAATACGATGAAGAATATAATAAAACTATTATAGAAATATCTCCAGAAACATTTCAAGATTTTTTACGATCCTGGAGAACAATTAGAGACTACTCTGAAAAATTTGCTTATACATGGAATGTAAAGTAAGAATGGAATATACAAAGATGAATATTATATACATTAATTGAATGTTTTTATTACAGGAGTAGTCTGCCAAATATTTTTCGAGTAGAAATACCTGCATCTTTTTTCGGTGACTTTATGGATATGTGTCTACAATATTTGTTAGACAAGAATGATGTAACATCGATTATAGAACTTCTCAGCATACTAAGCACGTGTAATAGATTCGATCTGACGATATGTTTAATGACAAAAAGTGAGCGATCTATATGCGAGCAAATTTTCCGACAATTACAACTCAAAGCAACGTCACAAGATAAATTATTGCAAATCGAATCATTAGCCGCAAAATATCGGATTAATATTAATTAATATATCATAATAATGCATTCTTTCTATAAATAATATGATTAATATGATAGATCAGAGAAATATAACAAAATAATAATTATAAAATAAATAATTGAAGATTATTGTATAAAATAATTTATTTAAAGTCTAATTAAGATTTAATCAAAGAATATGATGTTAAAATTGAAAGCCACGCATTTGGAACAAATGTTCTGCGAATGTATGTAGTAATTCTAAGCATCTCTAGAAATCTGCTATTCTAATTAGCGCGCCCAGAAAGTCGTAGCGGGCGGTGCGCATGATGTAACCGTATGACAGCGCGATCAGCTGAGCGAGCAAGATGGCGACACGCGGCGCGTCGCCGCGTACATAATGCGGTTTTCACGCCAATACGATAACAATAAGATATACACTATCTATTCTTATCGCTTACATGTAAGAACTCGTTAAATGTCTTGGGAATATTTAGCATTGGCAACTTTTCCTACGTTTTGCGATCGTGCCTCGCGGAACCGCCATGACGCACATATAACCCACTATGCATGTGTGTGTATATGCGTGGTAAATAAGCGAGTTCGCCGCCGTCGTCGTCATCGTTGTGATCGCGAATCCATCGCGCCGACCCAAAACATTGAAAGTGAACGATAGTGTGATCTCGATACTGTCATCGGGTCCAGCCGAGGATGACGAGACACGCGTCGTGGACGTCGTGCTGCGACGGTGGTTGGTCGCGCGATCTCACGACGCGCGAGACGACAATTCATCCGCATCATCAGTTAACCGCGTCTCACCGTCTCGCCGCCGTGAAACTGAGGGAATAAGAGAGAAAGAGAGAAAGAGTGAGAGAGAGAAGAGAGAGAAGAGAGACCGGAGAGGCGACCCTCGACAGGGGTAGATTGTGGGTGCTGCGGTACGGAAAAAAAAACACAAAAACGGGCAACGCGAAAGCGCGCCGCCGCCTCGACACCGCCATGAGGCTGGAGGAGATGCCGTTGCGGCTGAGCTCCGACGAGCGGGACTTTGAAATGGACGATGACGAGACGGACTACCTGCTGCAGCCGTCCGAGGACAGCATCAGGCAACTGACGTCGAGGCGACGGCGCATCAAGGATTGCTCCAAGTACCTGAGAAACTGCCTCTGCGGGTGAGTCGCGGCTTGTCTACAGGGTGTCCCGGAACGCGTGACATCGCACATCTGAAACACACATTCCGTGAGAGTTATAAATAATCATGATAGATTTTTTATTTCTCTTATCCTGTAGATTAGAGAAATGTCTCTGAACATGTCATCTATTATGTAGAAATATCTTATTTTTTTTTACAGTTTTAAGTAATCTAAACAACTTGTTTTTGTTTCTCTTGACCTATGAATAACTACAAAAATATGTATTATTTGATATATCAGGCTGCATGAAATATATTGTGTAGTATTTTCTAAAAATCTATTATTTATTTGCTATTTAAAAAATTGTGTTATTATCTATGATATTAAAGCACGCGATATTATTTAGCATTTAAAATTTGAAAAAAATTCATTGTTAGATTGATAAAATTTTGCGCGGCATATATTTCTATAATTTATCGATTATAGTATATAAAATCGATTAAGTATATAATTTATTTTTAATTTAACTAAATAAGCTCAACATATTCGATGTTGTTTAATTGAAATAAGAGATAAACAAAGAGATCACGTTATAATCATCTATTGCTAATAAAATTGATTCGAAATCATAACTAATTGTATAAGAAAACATTTGCATAAAAAAGATCTATTGATCTCTTCGAGATTCATGAATTTGCGCACTTTTAATCTTTTAAAATATAAAATTAATAATTAATTTTCGAGTTAAAAGTTAAGATTTTTGCCGTGTAGAATTAAAACTTTGATTTTTATGTCACACAATTAAAATCGTGATACAATCACTATAAAAGAGTTTATTTGATATAAAATAATATTTACAATTTTAGATTATGTTCTACAGGATGAATCTTGATTTAAACTCACACAAATTATTAATTTTATATTTTAAAAAGGCTCAAAATGCGTCAAATTCACGAATCTCGAAATGTATTAGATTTATCAATTTTTGACGTATTTAATTCGTCCAATTCCTCCTTAATCTCGCATGATACTAAAACGCGGTCGATCGAAAGCTACGCGTTATGCGTGCTCGAAATAGTATTTGACCCCTTATCGCGGTATTACTCAAGTGCGACATTTTGCACACATGTAAAACTTTCGAGAAGAGAGAAGCTTGATCAAGAGTTTGCCAATATATATTGTCATGTTCTTGTTGACCTTATATACTTTTATGATATTAAATACGTTCATCTAACATTCAATTGTAAAGAAAAGAGAATTTTATTTTTCAATGTTAAATCTATCATAAATTTAAATCTTTTGATTTTAAATTCGCGACCTCTTAATAAGAAATTAATATAATTATCATTTTTAATAGTGTAAAATTATTTCATAGTATCTCTTATATCAAGAATTCTCCAAGATTTCGGACAGAAAGAGTCTTTTTAGACAAACTAGTTTTTTCTTTGCCTCTTTTAATTGCTAAAGATTATATTGCTTACAATTTTTTCGAAACATTTCTATCTAAAATTATGTTACCTTTTTATAAATCCTTCCAATAACATAATACTTGTTGAATTCAAATTTTAACATTATACGAATTATTTTCCTCGAAGTCAATTAGTTTTCCAACATATATATATATATACCTGAAGAATCTTTGTGACGATGTGAAAAAGATTGCAATCCTCATTAACATTTTTCAAACTTTCTCTATGCGCACCTCACAAAAGTCATAGATATATATATATATCTAGAATAGAATAGAAAAAAATTGACGTTTCGTGAGATATAAAAACGAACTATTTTTTTACGCGATCGATTATTGGTTCGACGCTGTTTTATCGACGGAATTCGACCAATCGCGAATGCTCCAGTTTGTATTGACATTCCCGCGTCAGGCACATCTTGCAATCGTGTATTCCACGGTTGCAGATCGTGATGTCATAATATTGTTGATTGATGATAAATTGACGAGAATCTCAGTAATTTCTATCGAATTTCCGTGACGTTTGTGTGAAGAAATCGCGCTAGTGCTATCCCACCGTCTAATGAGGAAATAATCCAAATGGAAACGCAGAGCAACGTCATAAGGATGTCCAAGGAAGACATCCCGTTAATATCCAAGCCACGGAATGACAGCTCTTGGTCGAGGTGACGCATATAGTCTTATCTCGACTAATAATCGAGGCGTCAATTTTTATGATCTGTCGTTTTGCTGTATTTTTCACGATTCTTCGTCATCGTGGATTTTCCATTTACAATAAAAGTTTCTTAGAGGAGTGTCGAGAGTCGATACGCATGAATGCAGGCTTGTTCGATCAATGCCGTTGAACGATATACAGTTTGTTTATAATCATCAAACTTTGACGATTAAAATTCATTCTTGTGAACCTGATTATTAATTGCATCACATTGCAAATTAAAAAATTTTGATGCAAAATATACTTTTGCGAGCAATATTTATTGCAGAAAATAATAATATAATAGGAAGATTTGAGAAGAAATTTTATTTTGTTAACTTTAGACACAGCTTTGTTAAATTGAGATTGTTTCTGGTTGCAGATGTTGTACTTGGATGTGGAGGAGATGTTGCAGAGAACGAGAATTAAGAGCCAGGGTTATCCATATAGGGCAACCTATGCATGAAAAATTCCCTACCAATGTAATAAGAAATCAAAAATACAATGTTGTTACTTTTTTGCCTATGGTATGCTTTTCTTATTAAAAACAATAATAGATAGTATTAATTTTTAAAGAGATACATTTGTATCTCTTTAAAAATTGAATGAAACAGTGCGATGGATAATAATTATATTTTTATTTTATAGGTTCTCTTTCAGCAGTTCAAATTCTTCTTGAATTTATACTTTCTGCTTATGGCTATATCTCAATTCATACCAGACATAAGAATAGGATATTTGTATACATACTGGGGACCATTGTGCTTTGTTTTAACTGTAACAATTTGCCGCGAAGCTGTCGATGATTTTAGAAGATATAAAAGAGACAAAGAAGTTAATGCACAAAAGTATTATAGATTAGTAAAAGGTTTTGATACACCAGAATTAGTACCAAGTTCCAAATTACGAGTAGGTGACTTGGTAAGTTACATTTAATTTTCTTTTTAGTAGTCGGTCTTATTTTAATTTTATATTTTCTTAATAAAAGATGTATATAAATAAACAACTTTCTTTTTCTACAGGTAATAGTAGAGAAGGGTCAGAGAGTACCAGCTGATTTGGTATTATTACGCACAACAGAAAAATCTGGTGCGTGCTTTGTACGAACTGATCAGCTGGATGGAGAAACAGATTGGAAATTGAGATTAGCAGTGCCTGCAACGCAAAAATTAGAAAACAACTCTCAGTTGTTTGATATTAAAGCCAGTTTATATGTTGAAAAACCTCAAAAGGATATACATAGCTTTATTGGCACTTTTTCAAGAGTGAGAATTTGATTTTCTTGCATCTTATTCTAAAATCTCTTTTAATATTTTCTTTACATAGTTATTTATTCTATTTTTAGTACGATGGTTATAGCAGTGAAGAAAGCTTGGGTGTGGACAACACATTATGGGCTAATACAGCTGTAGCATCAGGCTCTGCTCTTGGTATTGTCGTTTACACTGGTCAAGAAACGCGATCTTTGATGAATCATTCAGAAATTAGATCAAAAGTTGGTTTGCTTGATCAAGAAATCAATCAGTTAACAAAGGTATGACATATGTAAAAATTATACATCAAAATGTTAATATATATATGTATAAGAACATTGATATATCTGTTAATTATATTTTGCAGGTATTATTTTGCGCGGTAATAGGACTCGCACTTGTAATGATGTGTTTGAAAGGATTCAATGGGCCATGGTACCGTTACATGTTTCGTTTTGTCCTGCTATTTTCTTACATTATTCCGATCAGCTTGAGAGTAAATTTGGATATGGGCAAAGCATTTTACGCCTGGTGTATACAAAGAGATAAGGATATTGCTGGTACGGTGGTGAGAACAACCACTATTCCGGAAGAACTCGGACGCATATCATATTTGCTGAGTGATAAAACTGGCACATTGACACAAAATAAAATGGTGTTCAAGAAGTTGCATTTGGGCACCATATCTTATAGTCAGGAAACGTTCGATGAAGTGACATCAGTATTAAAGACTTATTATCCGATTAATGCGGAGAATTCCCCAGTGAAACCAGCATTGTCCCTGCATAGCGGAAAAGTACGGAGGTCTGAAAATACCCGGATTTACGATGCCGTGCATGCTCTAGCATTATGTCATAACGTAACTCCAGTATATGATGAGATAAACAAATCTTCGAATCTGGATTCAGTGAGTGTGCAAACAGTGGAAACTGGAGATACAGGTTCTATTCAAAGGTATTGTTTTCTCATTAGTAAATTGCGAAAACTGGAATACCCTTAACTAATGAATTTTGATGTTTCAGTCAAACAGAAGCGGATCAACATTACTACCCGGCTGAACAAAAACGTAATTATCAAGCGTCCAGTCCGGACGAAGTGGCTTTGGTGAAATGGACAGAAGAGATAGGATTGGCTTTAATTAAACGAGATCTGAATTCGATGCAGTTAAAGACTTTGAATGGTCATATATTGAATTACATCATATTACAAATATTCCCTTTTACATCAGAAACCAAGCGAATGGGAATTATTGTAAAGGAAGAATCCAGCTCTGAGATTGTATTTTACTTGAAAGGTGCTGATGTTGTAATGTCCGGTATTGTACAATATAACGATTGGCTGGAAGAAGTATGCGAAAATATGGCACGCGAGGGTCTCAGAACGTTGGTTGTGGCAAAAAAAAATTTGACTGAAGATCAATATCTTGATTTCGAAACAAGGTAACACACATATTATCACAAGTATCATATTTACGTTTTTTGAGTGAAATTATAAATAACAATTATGGACTATGTATAGGTATAATGCGGCAAGAATGAGCGTTAGCGATCGTGCATCAAGAGTGGTCGCGGTGGTAGAGAGTCTCGAAAGAGAAATGGAATTGTTATGTGTAACCGGAGTTGAAGACAGATTGCAAGATAGAGTGAGGCCTACATTGGAGCTCTTGAGGAACGCTGGAATCAAGATATGGATGTTGACCGGCGACAAGTTAGAAACTGCGACTTGTATAGCAAAATCGTCATGTTTAGTTTCACGCACACAAGGACTGCACGTTTTCAAATCTGTCGTGACGCGCACTGATGCCCATTTGGAGCTGAATACGTTTCGCAAGAAACAAGATTGTGCCTTAGTTATCAGCGGCGATTCCCTGGAGGTGTGCTTGCAGTATTATGAGCAGGAATTTCTCGAGCTTGCTTGCGGCTCACCCGCTGTCGTTTGCTGCCGATGCTCTCCCACGCAAAAAGCCGAAGTTGTCAGTCTTATACAAAGACACACTGGCAAGAGAACGGCGGCCATCGGTGATGGTGGTAATGATGTCTCCATGATACAAGCTGCAGATGCCGGTACGTATCTTATATATTTGTACTTAAACTTTTTTTAAATAATCATGTATATATTTCTCTATCTAATATTACTATGTATATTTGCTATAGGAATTGGTCTCGAAGGTCTTGAGGGAAGACAAGCATCGCTAGCTGCAGATTTTTCAATTTCTCAATTTAATCACCTTGCTAATTTATTATTAGTCCATGGTAGAAGAAGTTACAAACGATCGGCTGCATTAAGTCAATTTGTTATACATCGTGGTTTGATAATTTCAACTATGCAAGCTGTTTTCTCTGCTGTTTTTTATTTGTCTTCAGTTGCCTTATATCAAGGTTTTCTTATGGTAGGGTAAGTATCTGTATATTACCATATTTATATAAATATATGCTAAAAATTACATTTAAAATTTATTGTGTCTTCATAATTTTTTCATATATAAAACAATTTATATGTATATACTGTTTTAATATACAGGATATTCTTATTTTAATAGTAATTTTTTGAAATGTCAGATTTACAAGATATATCGTTTCCATTAAAATAGAATAATCTATATATCAAAGTTTATAAAATTTATTAAATATTTTTTTATAGATATGCCACGATATATACAATGTTTCCCGTCTTTTCCTTGGTATTAGACAAGGATGTATCAGGAAAAGTGGCACTTACCTATCCAGAACTTTATAAAGAGCTTAGTAAAGGCCGTTCATTGTCATATAAAACATTTTTTATGTGGGTTTTGATAAGTATATATCAAGGTATGTAACTTTCATAAAATCTGAATAATGTATGTGTATAATGTATAAAAAAATGAAAAATATATTTTTGGTCTTATTTCAGGAGGGGTAATCATGTATGGTGCACTTATAATGTTCGAGGATGAGTTCATTCATATAGTAGCCATCAGTTTTTCGGCGCTAGTTTTGACAGAATTAATAATGGTTGCTTTAACAATTAGAACTTGGCATCATATAATGATACTTGCAGAAATCTTTTCTCTGGCGCTTTATTTACTATCTTTAGTCGTCCTCAAAGATTATTTTGGTAAGTTTGCAGCATTTGATAATAAAATATAACTAAATATAAATTCATCTCATTAATGATTTTTTCCTTGTTATTTAACACAGATGCTGAATTTATCAAGACAACAGACTTCTTATGGAAAGTATTGGTGATAACGTTAGTTTCTTGCATGCCACTGTACATTTTGAAATTTTTAAGGAAGAAATTTTCGCCTCCTAGTTACACTAAATTATCCTAAAATTTACGCGAAAGTTGATCAATCTATATATAAATAACAAGAGAGGATAAAATCAACTTGATATATTAATAACAGAAAAAGGACATACACAAATTTTCTCTCATTTTAATATTCCTAATCCAATCCAATTATAAATAATAATATTGCTTAAGTTAATTTTTAATGAAATAAAAAAAGTCGTACATGAACACATTTTTATATCAACCAACTATTTTTGTAACAATCAAACGATTTTTGTAACATTGGTCTCAATGGATACTAATGTAACAGAAGATGCTTATATTGCAAAATAAGATTAAAATTTTCTTGTATAATATTGCACACTGATTTCAAAAAATAGGGATTGGATTAAAGTTGTTATAAATAGAACTCACAACTTCATCATGTTACGTATAATGTTAATTCTTCCTGCAAGCTTGTTTATTATACATTTTTGCTCTAGATTAAATACATGACTCTTTTTATATTAATTTTCTTTATATTTCTCATATAATTCATTTAATTATATTTGTTTATATTATTTATATTTCCAAATGCATTGCCAAATTTGCATCTTCCATTTCAGTGTATTTATATATACATATACAATGCGACATTTGAATTATACCACTTATTCTTAAAATACGAATTAAACGTGTTCAAATTGAACACAATAGTATTTTTCATGTAGTAAAAATTTTAAAATATATCTGCATGAATCAAGCAATCGTTCGATCTATATAATGAAAAATAAATGCATTTTACTTGAAAAAAATTATTAGAGAATTAATGTAATTAATAATAGAATTTTAGTATCAGAAACAACTGTGATTTTTGCAAATATAAGTCTAAACAGCATTTGCACTAATGTTATATAAATAATTTCTGAGATCTTATTTCAAAAGGTTTATTTTTTCGTCCTATTCTTTTAAAAAAATTAATTTCTATGAAGAACATATTTTTTGTTGTTATTTATATTTTCAGTCATGTATACAATGCATAATAATACTGGATTACGTAATGTTTTATATTCATGTATACACTGCAAGCATGTAGAACATACCTGTAATCGTTGTTATCACTAATGTGGATGAAGCATACCACAAATAATATAATAGCTCTTTTTAGAAAATTATTATTTACTATGTATAATGCGTTTATAAGATTAATTTATTTGCAAATAAAATAATATATTCCTTAATCTGACTTGTATTATTTGTAATGCTCATAATGCTCATGCTCATGTTTTATTAAAATAAATAACTTTTGAGTAAGTTATAAAGTTTATCCTCTAAATATAAATACTGTTCTATTAGAAAAACATTTTATTTTTAACTTTATCTAACAATTACATTAAGTTTATCAGTTACTGTTTTTTCTATTTGATTATGGAGTTCAGTGACTTCCTTCTGAGTTAAGGTACGTTCCATATGTCTGTATACTATACTGTAACAATGGGATGTCTTTTTAGTCTTTGGATGAGTGAATTCATCTTTCAGCAAAATTTGTTCAATGATATCGCCACCTATTTCTCTAACTATGTCATAAAAATCTTGAGAAGAGTAACTTCCATTTTGTGGCAACCAAAAGCTTATATCATTTGTGCAAGGAGGATATATGCTGATTGGCTAAAAAATTACATATTCATACAAATTATTTAAAGTATCTAGATATAATATTTCACAACATTTGAGATATTCTTTAAATATTTATTTTACCTTGTATTGTATGTGTGCATTGAGATCATCTACTTTAAACTGATTTAAGAAACCCTCATCGTTACTCCAAAATAATCTTACATCTGGAATATTATACAAGCACATGCCCAAACGCTCCAAACCAAGACCAAATGCCCATCCGATCCTATCTACAGCACCAGATTTCTGAAGAATTTCTTGTCGCATAATGCCACAACCTAGTATTTCGAGCCATTTGTCATTATAGAATATTTCCAACTCCCATGATGGATGAGTGAATGGAAAATATTGGTCAACCCATCGGTATTGGATAGCTATTAATATAAAGTATTTTTGAATCTCAATTTCAAACTTCTTATTTTTACTGTAATAGCACAAAGAAATATTAATTTTTAATTTAAAAGTTAAATATGTGTGCTCTTATGTACACACACCAAATTCACAAATTAAATAAATACCTCTTCCAAAAATAGCTTTTGTTAAGCCAACTAAAGTATTTTTCAATTCCTGCTCCATTATTTTCACTACTTCTAAGGTATGGCAACCTTGCTTCTCAGTATTTTCTATTCCTTTATGTTCAAATAGCTTCAGATTTCCAGAATCATTCACATTGCAAAATATTTCTTCTGCTGTACGCAATCTGACTGCATCAACCTGGTGAAAAACTGGATAATGTGAACTATCAATTTCGTCCCGTCTGTACACATCCCCAATGACAAGAAAATTATTCAATCCCATCGAAATTAATTCAGCTTGATGTGCAGTCATATGCGCTCTCAGCAATATATCTTGATTTATGAAGTAACAATCATTTTTTCTCCTACTTGGATGATCTTTTGGTACAAGAAGAGAGTCGAAATTTTGTGCAATTGTCACTACAGGACACATATTATCATAGACACTAAAGGATGGTGTTCCGCTTTTACTGCGAAACTGTTTATAAAAATAGTTTACAATACGCTGACGTAAGAGTGACAATGGATGGTATTGCTGAACATGCAAGTTTCTTCCTAATTTAGCAATGATGTTTGGAGTGATATTTGTCCAATCGTCTGTCACATATTTTTGATTGAAAAGTACTAATTCATTGGTATTTTTATCGACATTCGCAACAGTAGACCTTCCCTTACAGATTATATTAGCAATGTTTACAAGTGTTTTCTTGCAAAAATAACACCTATTAGTATACCTGTAAAGATTATATTTTAAATATTAAACGTAAATGAAAGAGATATATTCAGACATTTTATATATCACACTACATACCACATTTTATTACTGAATTGATTTTTCGTCATAAAAAAATACATGTGTTACATGTATCAATTCACATTGATATCTTGAAATTGTTGTTTCAATGTGAGATTATATGGGCGTACATTGTCTACAAAAAGGATAGATTTTAATTATTTTTTATACACTCCTGTATATTCACATCACATCAACAAAAAGTTAGTTTTAAAAATATGCGCAGGTTATGTAAAAAACTGGATATTTTCGATGATACATGAAACATACAATAAAACAGAATTTGCAATTAAGAAATAATTTCACTTGATTGCATTCTTGCAATTTTTAATATTTCGAAATAATATTCTATTAACGATATTAGTGAGAAATTATATTTTGCACAGATGCCATTCATTACATCATTCATCAACATTGCATATCGATGTCTCGATATAAACACGTGTCAGAGCTTACAGCTGCAGCAAAATTTGTCTGTTTTGCCGGATAGCTCTGTTTAAATTAGTACAAAGTGTAAATCCTGTTTGTTATAAATAATGATTCCTAGTCGAACCGCGATTTTGCATCTTTATCGGGATTTAATTCGAGAAAGCAAAAAATGGAGCTCGTACAATTACAGGTAATATATTAATTACATGTATATCGTTATACTTGATAACCTTTATATTGCATATTTACAAATTATGTTTTCTTTTTGACATTTCTTAAATAATATTTTTGAGAAAAAAGGATTTATTCAATTCAGTTCTCTTTCAAGAATATCGAGAAACTATATTATTACAACTGTATAAATTTAGGTTAGAAATGTAGAGAGAATAATAATTTTTCCAAGCAATGATGACATGAATCTTATGAAACATTTATCGTGCAAATTAATATGATGTAACATTGAGCATTATATATACAATTATAAATTGTTTTCTACTTTTCAGAATGTATGCTCTACGAAAGATACGATATGAATTCAAAGAGAGCAAAACATTAACTGACGAAGAAAAAATTAGGCAGTGTTATGCAAAAGGGCAAGAGACACTGGCAATGATCAAGAAACAGGTCATATTAGGCAGTCTTTACAATACTAGGCCACTAGTGATTGAAACTATAAGCAACTTACATGATGCAACGACATAGAATATAAAATAGTTTTAGTACTTAAAGTTGTAATATGGTTATGCATTTCATTCAAATTTGTAAAGAGAAAATTTTTTAAGTCACAATTGTAAATTTTTAAATTCGAAATTTCTCAAATTACAGCATATCCTTAATTTAATATCCGTCATGTCAAATTTGAATATTTATAATTTCTTCATAATTTTTTAAAAGTATTACAAAATAGTTAAGGATAATTAGTTGTTTAACTATGAAGGAAAACTATGATTCTTGTTCATTTCTTCATAAAACATTCTGTAATTCTTTATGTAAAGATATTTGTCATCGTTATATATTATATGCTAAACTGTTTTTCTATTTATATATGTATGTAAAATTATATATTGTAAATATATCTCTTCAAATTTTGTTACAAAATTAAATAATTTTGTAATACATACTGTGTGAACCTATGTATTCTAGCACATGATTAATAATTGCGTACACACAAATAATTGAACAGATTATTTTTAAAATTACTTGTAAAAAAATAATCGCTAGAAGAGATGTTTTTCATATATATAATATAAAATCTTGAAAAATAACAATGTTAAATCAAGTAATAAAAATATATTGAATTTCACATTCCATGTACACACTAGATGTCAGAAATATCTATTTTAGATATATTCTATTTAAAAATGTATGCCTATATTATATATATTATATAGAAGCATATATATTTTTAACATCTTATGTAAAATCTCCATTTAATTACACTCCTGAATCTTTCTTTATTCTCTCTTCTAAACGATTATATACTCTCACGAAAAAGATAGCATGATAACTGTTTCGTTTTAAATGGCAATATAATATGAATGAAATAGAGCATATTAATGAAAGTATGTGTATATATATATATATATATATATATATATATATGAATGATTTTTCAGTACTACCAAACTGATATGGAAATACACAAATAAAAGCAGACGGAAAGTGTAGGCCTGCTGATCAGCTGTTTCAAGATGACAGCTGATTCAGTGTGTTGCATGACGCGGCTCGCAATGTGATAATTACTAGACTGCATTTGTATCTGTTACGATAGAGAGAAATAATTGTTGTTTGAAAATGGCTACGAGAAATTTGACCGAGCCTTTCGTGCTGATGCGAAATAATGCTCTGCAAACCAGGCATATCTACGCCGAACAGGTGCGCGTTTACTTAACCTATTTTATTCTGTCGTATACCTGTGCAAAATTGTGTTGTCTACGTTCTCTGACTTTTACAAGAATCATTCGTATATTTTTTTAGAATCTTACCGATCGTGTGGCACTGGTGGAATCGGATTCCGGTGGATCCGACAATGTTGAGTTAAAAGGTGTCAGCATCGACAGCGGTGCACCGCCTGTCTGGGCGGACGCCTTGGAGGAGACCCAGTACATCTTGAACAAATTACGTGTGAAAATAGATAGTCTGGTCGAGCTGCACTCCAAGCAGCTCACTAGGCCCACCTTGGATGATACGTCTCAGGTTTGTTGAGTTCCCGGGACCATCAGTTGTATATGATACTACTAGTTGGATTTAAAAGAACCCTACTGTTAGCATATCTTGTAAAAAAAAATATTAAATATTAATCAAGTGAAAAATTTTTGTCTCTCGTATAACAATTATATAATGCAAGATTTATATAACTGTAACATTATAGGAAGAAAGACAAATGGAACAATTGACACGAGAGATTGGACGTGCATTCTCTAATGGCTATAGACAAGTACAAACAATTAAATCAGCTGGCAGACATGAAACTAAGCCTGCTGAACGTCGGCTAGCTGCCAGTGCAGTGATGGCTCTTTCAACTGCCTTACAGGAATTAGGTCTTCGATATAGATCGGCACAGAATCATTACTTGACACGTATGTTCTTTTTGCATAGTTAATAAAAATAAATAACTAATAATATTCTAATAAATTGCAACATGTTATTTCCATTATATTCAGTTATAATAAATTCCTTGCAGAGGTAAAATCGAGAGAAGAAAGGAATAGCCAGTTCTTTGCAGAAGACCAGTATCTTTTAGATAATGTAGCAACTGATTCTTGGTTGACAGAATCAAATGAGGCATCTGCTTGGCAGAAAAATGAGCAAAGACAGGATTCGGTTTTGTTGCAATTGGAAGAACCTGAAGATAGAATGAAATTAGCATTGGAAAGAGAAGAACAAATTGGAAGTATAGTTCAAAGTATAGCAGATTTAAAGCACATTTTCAAGGTAAATTGTATGCGAAATCATCATGAATATTTATAACTGATAATGATTTTAATATAACAAGCAAAATGTATTGCAAATATATTCTTTCTGAAGAATATATTTTGGCACTAATTCTATTTATTGTTAGTAATAATATTGATAGTTTTGGATAAAATTTTGGATTTTTATTATGCAGGATCTTGCAGTAATGGTAGAGGATCAAGGTACTATTTTAGATCGGATTGATTATAATATCGAACAAACACAAGTGCAAGTACACGAAGGTTATAAACAATTAAAAAAAGCCGACTCGTATCAAAAAGCTAATAGAAAATTATACTGTATCGTTGTTCTTGCGGCTGCTATTATATTGCTTAGTTTCCTGTTTATCATATTTAAAACGTAAAGTACTTATAATTAAAATAAATGTAAAAATATTGATACACTTGTTGGTTGTTTATCGTGTTCCATAAAATTAAATATCTATAGAATCTGCTGTAATGATGGAAAGCTATTTTTTTAATAAGATAATATATGTATTTGTTTCTTAGATGTTATACCAATAAGAAGACAATGTGTTTTAAAATTATGGTAGATTTCTGTTTATTTTATCTGTTTTTAAATTAATCTGTTAGAAATATCCGACTAAATGTGGCATTAATTTTTTTTAATCAATATTCTCATTTATATAAATCAATTTTACAGTATCATTATATGTGCAATTTTAAGTGGCCATTTTAAATGTACATTAAAAATGATCGTAGATAAATTTATATAGTAAATAAAATAATTTATTTATCTCACACTTAGCACTATATTTTTATAGTTAAAAGTTATAAATTATTTTTATTTACATGTGATAGAAAATATTGCAGTATGACTTTTTATATCTGTATTGTAAACTGTTCTAGACTGTGTAGATATCCAGAATTGTTAAACAAGATCATTCCATGATAATAAAAAGATGACTGATTAAGACATATACTACTTATTTTTCTTGTATATATAATACATATAATCTATACATAAAATATTACAAACTTGTGTTTTCGAAAATTAGGGATAGCAAAAAACAATTTTTTTGGTATTTTAAGATTTGTCGAAGTTCTTTTTAAGAATAAACAAGTATTTTATCTGCTCTAAAGAACAATCTCTTTTTTTTTCTTTTTTTAATAGACCCGCATATCTTTTTTTTATATACATAAATCGATTTCTTATGTAAAAATATGTATTTATAATTAAATATAATGTGCTCAAGATTTGTTCTATTTAATCTCTTCTATTTCATTGCAACTTTTTGAACGTTGCACCTCCTATCACAGAGTGTGTGTTAAGTATTCTTGTCATATCTATACATATATTTTATCCCTGTCTTACTATTTAGCTAATCAATATATCAACTCTTTGTATCAATAAAATTTCTAAAAATTTCACGCATATGTTATTACATTATTACATTATACGTTATAAATCAAGTTTTTCAATATTCACTTTATCTTTTACATATGCTATAGCACTTTGCTTGAGCACTAATATCAAATTTGTTATGTTAAATACATTAGACTCATTATTATAGTATGTGATGTATCATACAAATTTACATATTGTATGTTTTTGATATGAAAAAAGAATATTTTCTACATCCTATATTATTACTACTGATTATAATAAAGATTAAATAATAAAAATGATAATAAAGATACAAAAAGTAAAACGCTTTTCTTTAATTTCTAACATTTTTTTTTAATTGTTAAGTAAAATAAATTTAATATAACATATATGTAATACATATAAACAAAACTAATAAACTGTAAATGACAAGATTAGTATAAATTAAGTATAAAAAAGCATTAAGTATATTTATTAAGTAATAAAAAATAAGTAGTAAATAACATTAAATAACAAAAATGATGTCAAGTAATAAAAATAATAATATTTTGTACTAAATAGATAATATTATTGAGCTGTATAAAATATGTAAATAACAATAAAAATTAACCTGTTCTATTAAAGATATCGAAGCATACAAGGTACAAACAAATTAAAAATGTTATAAAAATTAATACATTGATCCCTATATTCATTTTATGAAATTTCTTATTCACAAATTGTTAGGAAATATTGCAAAATGTAAAAATACACTTATATGTTTAATGCAACAATTTGATCGTACTAGTAAATATATATAATTCTATACATAAAAATAAAAATTATAAAAATATCTCTATATAATGTAAATATGTGCATAAAAATAATATTTAATCCTATATAATAATATTTAATCGTTAATATTGAAAGCATAATCCTAAATATATTCAATAATTCTTGAAAAGAATTTATGTTAAGAAATTCGTTGTGTGTATTATCTGATTTCTATAAAATTAGATATGATACAGATTATATTTTCATTAATTTGTATATGTTCATTCTATGAGTGGGGTGTATATATACATATATCTGTACAAAGACTATTTCTGTATATGGATTAGTATGATACATTTATCAACAATAATTTCCTCTCTCAATTGTAGATGATAAATTATATAAACTAGTGTTACTGTCTCTTATAAATAATTCTCTTATCAAATGGAATGTTAAGTGCAAATAGTTCTAAAACAGACTTAAGATAGCATCTGAATTATCATCTTTTCCTGCATATTGTATACTATTCAATGAATGAACATTGATCTCTTTGCTCTTTATCTTGATTACTATGATATTTTGATAAAACAAATAATTATGATATATATAGTTAAATGTCGATTAAATTTTCTTATGAAATACTAATATATGCAAAAGAATACAAAAATAAACTTAATAGCACCTACATAACAGCATCTACATAAACCAATTTATCTACAAAAAGTCATTTAAACATTAAGAATCATTAAGTAAATTTTTCAATATTTATATGATTTGAGCAGTAAAAGTCATACAATCCTATTGTTTCAATACACTTGTATATAAAACAACATTGCTAAGACACGATCGGTTCGCGTGAATGGTTAACAGATCCCTCAGATGTTGTGCACAAAATATGCGCAAGAATTCCAAGTGCACCGCCCAGAACAAAGCGAACAAAGTTGTTGCCGGCTAGAGGCCCCAGAACGTAAAGTCCTTTTGTTGCCTTGATTACCTCGTACGTGAAATCATCAATTTCGATCGGATTTGATTTACTGTCAATCGGTTTGTCCGCAAGTTTACCCAATCCTACACCATTATGTTCCAAGTAGGATAAATCTGGTTTATATCCTAAAATGAAATTATTCAATACACATATTACATCTTGCGAACTTCACAATTCTTTCATTCGTAAATATTATATCTTATATGTCAATAGTTTTTTAAATAAAAGTTCTACTAAAACATAGAAAAAATGATCTTTTTATTTATTTCCTCCCCAAAACTTTTCTTGCTGTGTCTACTATGATTTTTTCTATTGATAATTTCCCCATTTCATATTTTATTTAAAAAATTTATTGATTTACACTTATATAATAATTATAATTATTTATAAAAACAACAATATAAGTAATTTAGCATTTTAATGTTTCAATTTTTAATTTTTTAAGATTATTTCAAGATTATTTATATTATATTATATAATAAATATATTATTTCAAGATATACTATTATATTATTATTCAATATATATTAATATTAATTATAATATACAAGAAAAATATTATTTTTACTTAAGAAAAATAATGACACTATATGAAAATTCCGAAAAAAATGATCTTGAAAAGAAAATTTTCTTTACATCATGTACATTTTTAGAAATCAATTCAAATTGTATTTAAAATATTGTTAGAAATAAAGAAATAATTAAGTTTCTATTGAGATATTTTATATATACTTACCGATAAGTATAGCCGCAATAGATACTTCGAACGTGTGCAGCTGACCGTCTGGAGCGGAAAAGGTAACTGTCCTTCTCGTATTCATGTTTTCGTCCTTCTCATCGAGTCTGACGAGCGTGTATCCCGGCAGTGATTTATACAGAGGATAATTTGTACCCCCATCAGCCATCATCTCGTATACCTTGTGATATTCCGGATATATAGAATTCGGCAGCCATTGCAATCGATCGTAACTAGTAGTTATCTTCTCGACGGTTTCCTTGCTCCATTCGTTCGATGAATTGCGGAACGCGTGCAACACGGATACCCCTCGAAAACGTGCGGCCATAATCGCATCGGCTGCACTCAGACCAGCTCCAACTACTAACACCGGTTGCATCTGCTCATCGGTCGAATCTACGATTAGCAATTTCTCAAATGAGACAACAAATCGAAAATTATATAATTCACGAATAAATAAGTCGATTGAATGATCGCGAAAAAGAAGATCTATCTTGTGATTACATACCACGTTCATTGACCAAACGTCCTAATCGCGTTTCAAGATCATTGAGATCATGCGTCACCCAGTCGGGATACGTATTTTCCCCCGGAATACCTAAGTGATTAGACAAGTCGGTCGTACCGGTCGCAAGAACTGCTCTTTTGCACCGATATCGAAATCGCTTCCCATTTTTGTTTTCGTATCCATCCACGATCCAATTGTATCCTCCTTCACTCTCGGGTGAGTCTGACTCCGATCTTACTGAAGTAACTGTAGTCCCGCTAGAACACGAATCGCTTTCGTAAAATTTCGCGTCGTCATGTCACAATAACAAATCATCCTCCTTTAAATACGTACCATCGAAAGTATTGAGTCAAGCCTTTTCTGCGCACGTAGTCCTTGTAATAAGCAGCTACAGTGCCTACGGAAATCCGACTAGACGCTTTGCAAACGCTTAACTTTTCCGGTCGCGTATACATATCTCTCGCCGCGGTTAAAACCGACTCTTGTAATTGTTCCGCCTCGATAAGTTTCTCCCAATGCCTCAGATCCAGATCGGGGAGAGACATCCATCGACTCAGACTGAGAGTCAGCACATTAGGATCCATAGTCTAAAGATAATCGTGTTAAAGAAACTTGATAAACATTTGCTAAGAATAAAGCTACAAATATATATATTTAGTCTTACTCTATCTTTCTTATCTATCAAGAATTATTTAGATTTTACTTCGCATAGAAAGAAATCTATATCTATTAGAGAAATTATACAACAACGAAGAAATGTCATATTCGAAATGGCACGTACTTGCCAGGAGCCACCGGGTTGACCCTTGCCAAGAACAACGTGATCCACGATTCTATGCTCGGGATACTCGTCGGCGGACCGCCAATCAAGGAGCGAGGCCACATCAAGGCCAGCGTCGACGCATGGATGCTGCAGATGGTCCATGAGAAGGGCCAACGGTCGACCACCGCCCCTGCCCTCGATGCCGGCTGACAGACATTCGAGTTTGCAACGCGTACTGCGCGCCAGACTTCCTCCCTGTGTTCTGCCGACACCAGACTTGCCGCATTGATGTCGATTGTTGGCGACCGCATCATCCGAACGCGCATCGCGGTCTTCGCTACCGGTATTTGCCATGCAGAACCGCAATCGCGCCGTCAGCATATCGTCACCAGGATGAGGTTCGCCAGTATAATAAGGCCAATTGCCCGCGAGCATGTACGATAGGCATATTCCACTGGGTCCGTTTCCTGAAGATCGAAGAAGATTGTGTAAAATCGTATAATGTTTTCAAAAAGCCTGACAAATATATTATAAGTCAATTTCTATTTTAGAGAAATCTCTTTTTTATTTATTTGCCTTGAGTTTTTACGTGTTCACACGTTATTTTAACGCTTAATCTTAGAGTAGAGGATTCTAATAAATATTAATTTCAAACATTGTTGACAGAGAAAAAATTTCTCAACTTGGCAACCTAAAATTTGCATATAATGTACGTATATAAAATATAATGTATAAGAGAAATTTTTAAAATGCTGGAAAAAATTAAGAGCGATTTTAAAATATAAAGATAAATATATTTTACATTTCTTTTATTCAATCTATCAAGATATTAGAGATAATATTCTGAAAGATATATTATTATTCCATTATTATTTTTGTATCCTTTTTATTAGTTAGTTATTAAATCATCTATTGTATCACGAAATAAAGTTCGAAAACATTTCGTATATTTACCTATGATAACAACATCTTTATAAATGACATCATTATCGTCGATTTTAAATCCGTTCTGCATTTTTTCCTTTTTTTCGCGTTTCTGATGTAAACAGTCTTACTGCGATTCACACTCGTTGATCTATTCGAGTGCTGTAAAAAGAATTAAAAAATGATTATTTTACTACAAACACGGTTGCATATCTCATATATGGCATTTTAATAGCACCATCAGCACAAGATTGCAGAGTAATAAGATAGTCAAGGCTATTTTTCTTGATTCCGAGACTAATCTATAATTGCGACATTTTCAAGATATCATATTTGTAACTAACAAGAGGTTTATCGTTACGCAATGTTATTTTTTCCACGCAATATTTCATAATTTGACACAAAAATAAAAATAAAAATATATGATGATAAACTAATGAACATATGATATATTTTAATGATATAATGATTAATAAGTAATAAATGATTAAGTAATGATTTTTAATAACTCTAACAAATTTGTAATAAAACAATAAATAAAATATACAAATAAAATGTACAACGCAATATAAAAAAATATTTGTAACAATCCCTTCATAATTTCATAAGTAATATAAATTATGAATCCGTAAATCATAATCAAATCTTTTTTCGATTACTAATATATGAATTATATTACATACATTTTCAATTAGATATTAATAATTGAAAAAAAGAGACAAACTATGTATATTATGAGATATTTTGTACATTAATCTATTGTACTACGTAAAAAAAGCCAATAAACTGAAAGAGATGCCTCTCTTATTTTTTAATAACGTTGCGGTTTATAAATATAATATCGTCATAATCAATGATAATCAGGAATATCCGCTACAATTAATGTGAAAACATCGTTGTGTCATAATGAGGAATTTTATGAATCATAATTTATAAATCGAACATATCGATCGGAAGTGCGAGATCTCGAAGATAAACGATGATTAAGCGATAAAATAAAACCTATTATATTGTAATCTTCGTTCTCGTAAGCGACCTTCGCTGGCAGCGTGTTTTCTATTCCTCTTATTTACTCAATATAATTATCATTAATTAACATAATTATGGTATAAATCGGTAAATCTTCTTGCCCATCGAGCATTAAAAACATTCTAGTTACTCGATAAAGAGCTTTTCAAAAAGAAAGAATATAAAAAAAGATACGCCAAAAAATAAACTAAAAAAATTAAGAAATAAAAATAAAAATGTGTAGGGAGATATAAAAATATAATAATTATAATAAATATAATCTACTGAAAAAGTAAAGAATAAATATAACAATAGAATAGAAATTAAATTTTTATTCGTTCACATTTGCAAATGATTCACGAAATTTCATGAAACTGTTGAAAACAGCGTAGTTAGGATGCATATTCATTATGTATACACGATTAAGATCCATTTATGTGCGTAACTTGTTCCCGTCATTACCCGTCTCTTCTACTTGACATAATCTACTCCGCAAATAAACTAAGGGAACGTCTCGTTAATTTGTACCGTGTACTACCATGATCCACTTTTATTATGACGCTTATGGGTTAAGAATAGAGCATCATCGCGTATTCATGAAGATCGTCAGCCGAGACAAGAATTGACAGTGGTCCAACATAGATATTTAAGATTATTAAAGATTATTTAAGATTCTGTATCCGTAAGATTATCACATTGTTGAACAAATTTCTAGGCAATAAGCCTAAAACGGTTAGAATATATATTTTTACGGAATGAAAAATTTTTTAGAGACGATTGCAAAAAATGTTGAATGAAAGTAAAATTGCGTATGCATGTATAACGGAAATGAAAAATATGCAGCACAAAACATCGTTTATTTTCATTTATCAGATCCACGCGTATGTTCCATTAAGTATACACGCGTGTATCCATAAGTATTTACGGAGAAATCTTATCGTGAAAAATCAAAGATGCAATTATTGCATACGACATCGATCGATATAGTTGACACTAGTGTGAAAGATTTTCTTGGTTGACAATGAGCCATTATTCGCAGCGCGTACAAATATTTGCGATCGATATTTACATACTCATATCACCGAAGTAGAAGTGATACTTTACTATTCGTTGCATTTTGCGCGAACCTGGAGATCAATGACCATCGACAATATAATTCACATATCTTCGTAAAAATATCACATAAAAAATACTATTATCGAAAAACAATTATTAAATTTAAAAAATTATTATCGTTATCGAATTGTTATCTATAACGAAGGGCAATATCCTATCGATACTTATCTCGATGTGAACATTAATAGCATTATCTTACTCAAATCAGATTTGCGGGAATTCCGTTTTCAGATCATTCACAAATATTTAGAATTTAATATCTGCAATATATATCAAAGTACTTGATATTTTTATTACTGTTATCATTATGGAATAGTTGCCTCACTAAATTAAATAATAAAGTTATCAGTATATGACGCAATAAAGTGAGGGTATAAATTTGTTTTAATAGACACATTTTTCGCAATTTTTTCTCGTTTGTAATTTTAATTTATTACTTAAATATCGCAAGCGTGGGTTGAAAAAATATGAAATGGAACAAAAAGGAACTTCAAAGTCCGTTAAAAAAAGTCCGTTGTGAAATATGTAAGGATGCTATGTATTATATTAACGATCGCGGACTAACAATAAGTCGATAAGTTACATATCTGAATGCCTCTTTTTGCGAGGTATGTATAAGTACAAAGTAATGTCTTCGCATTGAAGTCAACTGGTCATATATATTGCTCGATATATATAGTGTATATCTAGTTTACGTGCATATTGTTATATTTATAAAGAATCTACATGAATCTCTATAAAATCGTTAAGATTTTAATTATATGTTGTATATCCAATGTTGTATAAAATAAAAATTATATAAAAATTTATATATTGTAAATATATTATAAATTATTATATAAAAATTAAACATTGTATTATAAAAATTAAATATTTTATATTATAAATATTTGATTATATCTTATATCTAATAAAAGTTATGAAAACTAAACTATATAAATATTAATGCGGAATTAATTATAAAAAACGGGAACTTTTTTATAGAATTTTTTTATAGAACGAAAAACAGAATTTAGTCATATTTGATATTTAATATTTTATTTATATTTTTAATTTTGTGACCTCATATATCTAAATATGTCAAAAGCTGTATAAATATTGGAATATGTGAGTGCTATCTTAAAGAGGCGTGATATTTGATATTATAAACAAGATACACGCAAACACGAAGCTAAACTCGAAAATCGTTAAATTTATCACGGCTAGTATTATATAATACATACAATTGTACGATTTTGTGATGCAAAATGCAAGTGTCTTCACGACGTCGTAAACAGGTGCGTTTATAGATACATATATTTATACTATGTAGTCCAATAAGATTCTAACGTCGATGCTTCACATAGCATCTTCTATTCTTAATCGAAGATTATTATTCATAGTAGAAGGTTGATTCTCTTTCTTTCTCTCTCTCTCTTTCTCTCTCAAAACGCTTGAATGGAATTTGGTTAAGACACAAACAAGATGTTCAACTGATTAATCAATGAGTCATCAATTTTAAATCAATTTTACGAGATGGCTTGATGTTTTGTGTACTTGATGTTTGTATATAAAATACTAAATATTACCATATTTCTACGTTTCGCGATAACTACAAGATTTACATTAACCCTGCGAGAAACAGTAATCAAGACGAGTGAGAAAGACTAACATATTAGAGATTAAGTATTCTCATACGATAAGTTTACAGAAAATTAAATTTTTCCTTACAGATAACCACGCATACACAAGTTAGAAATAAGAATATGTTTTTCTCTAAAGCTACATATCTTTATCTCTAAAGTAATATATCACGCAGCGTATACCGGTCTGTTGTACCATCTTTTTCCTTCTGATTCTATCGGACTCTCTTTCTTCTTTCTTTTTCTTATTTTTTTCGCATAAGCCTTGAATTCCAAAGAAAGCAAATAAAAGAATACGTCCAAGTCCAGTGGTTTTAACTTGGGTAAGTCAGTCACGAAGTATATTTTGCAGTTCCAACTTTTGACCACCATCTTCAGAATGATAATCTTGGAACTGCCGTCAACTCGAATCAACATGACAGAATTTTTTTCGTCTTTTTTTGATGACTTTCGTAATTTTATATAACATATTAAGAAGTTATTATGTTATATCTAGAAAAGACAATCTCCTTTTTTAAATCGTCATAAAATGATCCGAGGACACTTTTAAGATCCTTTTCTAAAATTTAGAAAATTATATTCCAATTGTCTATTTATCAATATTTATTTTGTAAACAATTACAAAATTAGATTATCTATATTATATTTAAGATATATGACAATTTATTAATATATTGTTCAATAAGATATTCATTTTGCTTATGAAACATGTACGTTGCACGACAAGTTATCAATTATGATTAAAGTTATTAGTCTTAAATTAAATTGATTAATTTTGCAAAATTGAGATATTATGTGTTTTTCTTTAGCTCTAATAAGAAACATTAATGATAAATACTGAGCGGTACTAATCTAACTCTATTTTAAAAATTTTATGTTGATAAACATTTCTGTGAAATAGCTGTTATACAAAATTGACGTTCTTCGAAATTATAAAAGAGATCTTAATATAAGCGTAATTTGATTAATTTTACTTTTGTTATCTTGTTGCGAGATATAAGCTACTCGGATATCATACTAGGAAAAAAAGATAAATAAAGTTTACAACTGTCTCTAAATATGAAGTTAGTTTGAGATACAATCATTTATTTTATATCATAGCCTCTTAGATAATTTTTAGATATATAAAAAATTTTGTGCAAAACAGATTAAAATTCTTCTTTGATTTTCAATCAACAAGTTGTTATTCAATTTATTTGGAATTCAAATGTATATGTAAACGAAAACAATATAAATCGATGAAAAATATTTGTTTGCGATTGCCGATATTTATTTCATCCTGCAAGTAAATTAATGAGTGCCATTAACTTTACTAATAATAAATAAATTATAGTCAACATTCTTAATTTTTGAATGCAACGATTAAATGTATTTAGGTTATTAATATGTGCTAATATTAATTACTTGCTATATACT